AAAGCAAAGCATACAAACAAACAAACACACAAAAACCCCAACTGGCCCAAACCTGTCTAACAGAGTCACAGTCTGGTCCACTTCATAACTTACTGAGTTAGAGTCTCTGAATTGAGTGGAGCTCATGAGTATCTCTTTATAAAAAATATCCCATGCAATTTGAGTGGGAATAATTTTTTAGAAAGATTTCTTCATTTCATTTTATGTGTATAAACGTTTTGTTTGCATGTATGGATGTGTATCACATGTGAGTCTGGGGGTCCTCTGAGGCCTGAAAAGGATATCAGAGCTCTTGGAAATGAACCTACAGATGTTGTGAGCCACCATGTGGGTGCTGGGAACTGTACAATGGTCTTGTGAAAGAGCAGCAAGTTCTCTGGACTGCTGAAGCATCTCTTCAGCTCATAAATAAATAAATAAAACTACAATTTTCACACCAACCTGAACATGGGGACCGTATTTTCCTTATATCAGCAATTCCAATATCCAGCATAGTTTTCAGCACCATTTATACCCAATAAACATTTGTAGAACTGTCCTGGAAGACACTTCTCAAAGTTGGCCCTTGATTGTGCTGAGTTGTAAGAAGGTGCTGTTGGTGATGTGGCAAAAATATCAATGAAAACTCATTATTCAGCAGTGGCTGGTAGAAAAAAAATCTTAAAAACTATCTTTCTGAATTAAAAGGACCATAGTGGGCAGAATAGCCTGGGGCCTTGCTGTTTGGCAAAGGCATTCCAATAAAGAGAGCACCAAAGAGAAGAGCCACCAGGCTGTCTTGGCTGCCTCCAAGATCATTTATGGCATATCTGGACCACATGGTCCTTGATTTTCTCATCTGAAAATTGGGACACGGGCATTCACCAGATGTCTGTGTTAGTGGAAAACTGTCAGCGTGGCTAGAGGCCATCTGTCTAGTGCCAGAGGCCATTCAAGAACAGTCATAAAGAGAGTTGGGCACTCTCCAGCTTGCCACAGAGACCAGACTGTTGTACACAATAAAGCCCTTGCTTCTGAACACTGGCACCAATCCAGGCCACGTGGTCGATCCAATCACCATTTGGTTAGGGGTATGTGATTTCCTTTCCATCGTACCTGGTTGTAAGGTCCAATTATCTGAGGTGTGACTATACAGGAAATCTCAACCACTAAACCCACCTTTAGATAAGGACCCGCCATGCAGCTGTCAGCCATATTTGCAGATGGTGGCTGGCAACTTGAGGAGATGAGATGTGGTCTGAATCTAGCTGCTGTTTTGATAAGGGCATCGGGACCTGTTCTTTTCTTGGGAAAGTAGAAATTGGCAAAGCTTGAAGGGCTCCCTGATATCCATGGGTTTGGGAAACAAAAATATAAAAGGAAAACCTATTGAAATAGTCTCTTGAAATAGTCTCTTGATTGGAATCTGATGATGCAGTTAGTGTGGATGAAGATTCTGTAATACACAATTTGTTATGATGGTTGCTTTTATTGTTTCCATTTGAAAGAAGAAGAAGGAGAAGAAGACAAAACTAAGGGAGCATAAACAACTGGACCAGCTCTTGAATCCTTGCAGTGCAGCCAGAAGGCAAACCAGGCTATCTGACCCTGCAGAAGCATTTCACTACACTCTGCAGTCTTCCCCATAGGAAAACTGTACAGAAGGATGACATCACATTCACTTGCTGGAGAAGTGGCCTTAGCCCTCTCAGTTCAGAAGGGAATGCAGGAGATTTCTCATAGACAGAAATGGAGTTTAATATTTTATTTGTGGATTTGCCCATTTTGTCTTGGAGTTCATTATCCTAGCTGGATTTAAATAATTTCATTTACTTTAAAATGTAGAATTGTAGTTCGTCTCTTAAATAAGCAGTAGTTCTTAACTATAAGAAAACTATCCTTGCATTCCTGAGGTAAAGGCTATACATACTGTTGTTTATGACCCTCGTTCTATCATGGCTTACTATTGTTTCCTAATACACTATAGAATCATGTAAAATAATATTTAGGAATTTTGAATGAGTTAAATGTCCTATAGTTTTCTTAAGTTGACATCATTGTTTCAGAAACCAATTTATATTATTTTTTTATTTGAAAATCTCCTGTCAGTCTTTCATTGATCACAACTGTGACATTATATTGCTAGATCTTCTAAAATACTTAAATTAATTAAGAAATTTCTTTTAATTAGTTAACCTAATAGTTCCATATTTATTATAGTTACTGTACTATTAGTACTTACCATCTTTCATTTTCTGTTTTCTATATTTAAAAATCCGTTTCTTATTTTCTTTAGAGATGGCCAAATTTATCTGGCTTAAAGATAAAATAGTCTATTTCTGTTTCTATATTAAGAATGAAGATGGTGGTTCCATATACCTAAGTTTGCACTGAGGCTTGTTTTCTGCTATTAAGTTCTTAAATTTATCTATCATTCTTCAGGTTGAGCATTCCTGACAGGAAAATCCCCAATCCAAAATGTTCACAAATCACAAACTTTTCCAGTGTTGCTATGACACCACAGGAGGAAAATTTCATACCTGAACTCACGTGACAGACTGTAGTATAAATACAGGTATCCTAAAAATACTGCCTGAAACTACCTTCAGGGTGCATGTAAGATGCATATGTGCACAAATGAACTTGTATTTCATATCAATATAGTTTGTTATATATCCAGCGTTCCAAAATCTGAAAATATCTGAAATTGAAATACTCTGGCCCTACATATCTTGGATAAGGCTTGCCTTTGTTTTCCCCTTTGTGCAATAAAAGCAACATTACAATTAAATGCCTTTGAGTTGCTTTAGGACCATCCATCATGGCATTAAATACAAAATATAATTAATGTAAATTATATTTTTGGACTTGTGCAGGTGTGATGATATTTTGTTCTGGAGGAATTTTCTTTTCCCAGTTTTTAAGAGAATTCCTGTAATAAACAGGATCCAGGCATTTGATGGCCTTTTGTTCTAGCACTTCTTACACTATCCTCCAAAGTAGCACTTTTCATTTGAATACTTCCTCCAAGAGCAAGTTCAATGTGAGCCTTTGTAGGCCCTAAGATATTTTTGTTATGCTACAATATTTGAATGGCAGTTTGGCCTGCTTTAAGGAGACAGGTTCAGTGTTCACTTTAATATTTTTACAAATATTTCCTCATTGTCTGAATCTATAATTTTGCTGTGAGTAAGTACATTGCCATAGCAAGTAGATATTTGTATTGCTCTGTGGAGCTCATTAAGCTAGGCCTATAGAAAGACAAATAAGAAAAAAAAAAAAAAAAAAAAAAGAATCCTTAATTTCATGACCTTAGAGTAAGACAGATCAACAAAATTTACTACAGTGTAAGAGATGCCTAGTCAGAACGATATCTGCCTTACGAGCCCTAGACATCTGGAGAACCACTTCATTCTATAGTCATAGAAACCGAGACAAGAACAGTTGTACGGCATATTTAAGGAGACACAGCCAGTGCGTGGCAGAGCATTGATGGGAACTCACAGCTCCTGGAGCTAAGCCAGGCCTGATGGGTGGAAACTTCTCAGTAGGCCTAAGGCTCTAATACACTGGCACCTACTAGACTAGGTTGGGTTGTGGTAAGCAGTCCCCACAGCATGGTCCCTTCATCATACTGAGCTCAGAGGGTTTTGAGTGAGGGTTGTTAATTCATGTAGGAGGGAGCCGTCTCTGTTGAATTGTTTTATTATGTGACTTGACCAGTGTTTCTCCTCAAGACCTGCTCTCAAGCCTACAACCCATTAGAGACTGTAATCTATAACTTCATTAGGTGAAGTTTTACTGGGGGTTAAGATGCCATATATAAAGCATAAAGCCTCCTTGAGGTCCCTACAGAGTCATAGGACAGTTTACCATCATGTAAACAACAGGCATAGTGCTCTAAGAACAGAGACAGGGGGACTGATAATTTCTTTCACTTGCCAAGGTGCTATTTGAGTTGGGTCTTGATGAAAGAAGGTGTGCCCTTCAGATGGGGAGACAGGGAGAGAGACACAGGTCAGTAGTTTCATATGAGCGTGAGTCTGGAGAGAGGAGGGCTCAATTGTGAGAGGCTTTCTGCATCTCAGTTCTGTGGATAAAGGGAGAAGTCTTCTTCTAGTGGTGCTGGAGGTGGAATGCCAGGCCTTACACATGCCAGACAAGCCCTGCATCACTGAGCTATAGACCTTTAGGTGAAGGCTTCTTAAGCTGGAGGATGGCAGGGTCACACCCAGAATGTATTAGATCATTCTGAGGCATCATGGAAGGCAAAGCTGCAAGGTCTCTGGACTACCCCAGAGGGCATAACCATGTGACCTTGACCCAGAAGCATGTGGGTTTCAGATACACAGTGGCAGAACATAGCCTCATTTTGTATGCACTGCAGATGGTGAGCCCATTACTCTTCCTTTGAGAAGCTTTCTATTAGTCATGCTGGGTGGGGTTCTGGGAGAGAAACCTTGGTCCTCCTTAGCCTAAAAGTCATTTTTTTTGGGAAATCAGCTCCGGCTTCTTTTTTAGAAGTCCCAGTGTCGACATCCTTTTTTTCTTGTTCGAGTGAATTGCCCCCCTTCTCTGAGGACCTACCTTCTGAAGGCCGACCTTCTGAACCAGTGATCCCGGCATCTAAATAATAACACTGTATCTTGCCATTTTACTGTGGATTGGGTGGAGGGGAGAAGCCGTTACATTTCAAAATGGAATAAACAGAGAAGCAACACTAAAAGAATGGGGAGCTTGTTTAGTGAGGCTTGAAGGGAGGACAGGTGTTTCCTCCCAAGTTGAGAATAGTGACCCCTGGGAATCGCCATTTCCCGTTGAGCAGGCACCCATGGTGAGGTGAGTCCTGCAATTGGCCTGGCACTGTGGAACAGTATGTGAGGACCGGAGAAAGCCCACTGTTTTCTAGATCGTCTTTTGGACGCCTACCTAATCACATAAAGAGCTCTGATCCTTGGCCTCATAGTCTACTCTCTGCATTCACCCAGACACTCACACTCTAGGGCTACACACCACTCCGTGGCTGTGTACGAATGGCTATGGTCTCTAGTGCTGTGTGGCATTTAGTCCCAGCTGGCTGGTTCTGTGTGTAAAACACTCTTCAGCCAGTGGGGACCTTAGGGGTGCACACAGTGGGGTGACAGTCAGTGTTGCTGAAGAAAAAGCACAGCCCTGCTTGGGGTGGGAGGATGTGATGACGTGGCTGGCGCCACTCAGCAGGAACGCAGGCCTTTAAAAAGCTGAAGAAACGGCCTCAGAGTAAACGGTGGTTCCACGGGAGGAAAGCACACCCAGGCACATTAAAGAAGCCAAACTGTCTGCTTCAAAGAGAAAAGGCAACATCCTGTCACAGGCCATGCTCTGGCAAAAATGTAAGTGGTTTGGTTGTGGCTGTCAGAGCCAAGTAAGCAGAGGCAGGGGCCAGGAATAGAGACTACTGGTGGTGACGGGAACTCTGGGTCTAAGTTCAGGGCCCGGGGAGCATGGAGGGCTGAGGTGGGTGAGATGGAGCTCGATGGGAAAACCAGCCTGTCAGAGGTGATGCTCATTTTCCAACTTGGGGGAACGAACTAATGTCCCAAGGTGGGACAGCTCATTGCACCTCCGGTTCTGTGCATGAATCACTGAGGTGAGGAAAGGGCAGTTTATGATTCATGAGACAGAAACCACATATGATACGGGTTTGGAGTAGTTCTTCACGTGAGGGTCTTTACTTTCATAGACATCTGCAAATTCGGCTTGTTATTTAGTTCTGTGGGTCCATTTCTAGCTGAATTCTGCCCAAGGTGGTTCCTTCCTATGGATGTGTTGACAGGATGGAAACCCAGTTGTTTGAAGCTTGTCTTCGCAGCTTCCTTCCAGCTTCTTTTCACTCTCTTCCTTATTCTGGGGCATGGTTAGATTTGTGTTCCACTGCAAAGGGCCTGTGGGTTTATCTTTGACCTTGATTTTTATCCCTGGAGTTGAATGGAACAAGTGTGAACTATATTTTCCGTTCTGTGGATTGAAAAGAATCGTGTGTTATTGATAATGGAAGTCATACAGACATTATCTACATTATTCCTTTCATGAGGTAAACAAAGTCAACTGAACAGTCTCACCAAAGTTGGACCTTAGCAAGGCTCAGTCCCATACTTCCTCAAGTAAGAGCTATTATCAAAAAATTTTCCTATCTTTCTTTGTTAGATGATTAACTCCTTAAAATGCCTTTCGTTAGTTTAAGTATACCATTCCTCAGTCAAACATATATAATAATCCAGATGAAAAGAAAAAGGCATTTTGGAGGGCTATATATATATATTTTAAATCTGAAAATATCTCTTCATTGATTACAATGTAACATAGTCACATTGTCACCAACTGTTTTCTTTATTTCTCAATCCCCATTCTCTGGAATTGATTTTGTTATTCATAGGTGACTCAGAGGAGCAATTTAAACATTTCTCAGTTCACAAAGTCCTATCATTGGTATCAGAGAGATTTCATCTTCAAAAATAAAATGAAGTGAACTTTAATTCGTATTGGAGAGTTTTAACGACTGACCTTTTCTAGTTTGGGTAGCATGGGACTCATAGCAGAAAGTGACCAGAGCAAAACCTTGTCCCTCTGGAAGCAGAGTGGCAGTCAGCACCATTGGAAATGCTATGAGGCAGATGGGTCTAAGTATCTTCGGGGACCCTATAAGTGTCAATATGCCTTCTTCCTTAGAGTTTCTTTTTTTTTTTTCAAACTCTTAGAGTTTGCATATTTAAAATTGGGTAAAAATAATCCCACCGTAAATAGCTGCTTTTAACAAGCTGATGGTGCCACCAGGATGGTACCAATTGCTCTGACTTGGCATTAGCTCCTGAGCTATGGGTTGCTTGCCTACACTGAAGAAGCTACCATAGTCTCCCATTGTTGATATCCACTGTACTTTTTTTCTCTAATGCCCCCTAAGAGATGAACAGAATTTTTTTTAGAGTTGTTAGAGGGTTTGCTTCCTGCTCACACCACCGGGGCCAGCCAGGTAGAACAGAATGCGTTAAAACAGTGACCACATTGTTAATTCACCAGTATTATAATTGGAGTGGGTTCAGATGAGAAAAAGTCAAAATTATATAAACTGTCCTTTGGGGCCTTGAAGGGGATGAGGAAAGGCCTTGTGCACTAGACCTATCCCTTTGCCCTGGACCCAAGGTCATCTGAGTAACTAAGACTTGTGGGAAACCTAGTAAAATCAAGGTAGTGCCATCAGCTTGCTCAGACTCACAGGCTGGAGGGCAGGCTGAAGTCAGTCGCGAGGAGTGCTGAGAAGGCACTTTCTTTTTTCAGAAACCACCCTTCAAGCATGAGCTGAAATGACTGTACCCTGGGTTAAGAAAGAGTTAAGAAAACACTCATAGCACACATGACACCTCCTCCCTACTTGGCCCAGGTACTCCTGCTAGTGGACTCCTGGTGAGCACAGCCTATGGTTAAGATGGGAGATTGTGGTGACAAAGCTCAGACCTGTTGACATTGAGATGTGGAAGCCTTGAGGTCCCAGCCCTGGGTGTCAGCAGGATAAAGAAGTTGGTCCATCTGTACTGGTTACCACTATCTCATGTAGATGAGAATGAACATCCACCTGACTAGGACAGCATAGTAGAAACAACTTGAAACAGCTTGAGCACTGGACTGGCTCTGACAGTTGGTTCTACAACTGAGTACTCTCTCCTCTTCTCACTCTTGACATGAAGATGTGAATGCCTGCCTCGAAAAGTCTTTGTGAGAATTAAAGTAAAGCATTGTACCTGCCACTGACCAATATTGTACATACTAGGAACATCAACTTGGGTTTTATGTTGACTATTATATTTTGTATGCAAGCACTTTCCATAAAGTTTGCTAAATTAAAAAAATAGGTTAATACACAAAGTAATGTGTTTCATCATGGCATCTTCATACATATTTGCCATTATACTTTGTTCTCATCTGCTCCCCACCCACATGTCCCTTCCTTCACTAAACTTATGTTGACACAATTTTTACAATGATTTCCATTAAAATGTTAAGATAGAGAAAACACTCCGTTATAAAATGTTAACTGTAACAATTAAATTTCACATGAGTTAACATGCCAGCTGTCTGGCAACTTTTAAAACTGTGAAGTTTGTTCAAAGTGACAAAAAAAAAAAAAAAAAAAAAAAAAAAAGTCAGGCCTGTGGTATGAAATCACATTGTGCCATCAGAGTATCCATTAGATCTCTGTTTTAGAGGCTGAAGTCAACAAAGCACTGGCTTGCTTAAAGGTGAAATACTAACTTGTAAAACAATTTGATTCACACATTTTCAAATGGAAATGACCAATATTACATGAATGAAAAATGTGTTTTTCAGTTCAAGTCCACATTTTAAACTCTTATTCAGATTTCAAGAACCTGAAGATTATTTTATCTAGATATAAATTTTTATTGAAATGTTGAATTTAGGAAAAAAAAAGAATGTAGACAAAGTGGAACTCATATGTCCAGTAAGCAGCCACAGGGGTCAGTTAATGCCCTCCTTCTTCTAACTGTCCCATAAGTCTGTCTGACTCATTGGGCTATGCCAACCCCTACCCCCCACCCATATACCTTTTCCTAACCTTTAAAGAGTTCCAGGCAAATATTTTTGGGTGATAGAATTTAACTGCATATTTCAAAGGTCTACAACAGAAGTGTGATAATATGGCCTGTGTGACAAATCGAGCTTATTGTCTATTTTTGTAATAAAGTTTTATTGGAACACAGCTATGTTTCTTGACTGGCATATTTTGCATGGCTGCTTTTGCTATAGCAGCCAAGTTGTGTAGGTGTAATGTTACTGTACAGGCCTATCTGGCTCTTTATAGAAGAAGCTTGCCCACCTCCCCACTTAGATGTCTGACTGGTACTTGAGACATTCATTTCCCCATGTTACTCAGTTTCTTGGACTTATATAGTGTTAGCATCAATGGTAGACAAAGCATGTGATAAATTATAGTTTGTTAATGACAACAAATTTAATTGATTAAAAGTCTTCTTTAGAAGTGATGGGACATTGTATAATAAATTCAATATCACTTGTTGGAATGGAGAAAAAACTGGAAGATACGATTTTCATCATTGTTTCTTGTATTAGGAAAAGATCTGTGGTGATAGTGAAAGGCAGGATTAACTGATTTTTCTCTGCATTGACTTGTTGTCTCAGATCTCATGGACTTGGCCATGTTTTCACTGTAGTCACTCAAGGGCCACTTAGGAACAGGAACTATTATTATTACCAAATCATTATGCCCATTTGCCTTTGTCAGACACCTGGAACAGATCAGACCGGTGTATCAGATAAATACGGACTCATAATTCTCACTAATAACGAGGTCTTACTTTTAGGATTTACATTAGGGTTCCACTAACTAGAAACTATATTTTTAAGAGTAAAGATACTAAGGGCTATACATGTGAATTTTGACACTTGGAAATCTCATGCATAAATTCAGATAATTTATAGCAGGAAGTAATTTAAACTGTGTAGACAGCTTCTAACTTTTTCATTCTAAGATACAACCTTTGCTTAATGAGCTCATTAAGTAAAGACCTCCCTTACCAAGCTTATACACTGAGTTACTACTGCTAATGCAGAGGAAGCCAAAGGAGAGATATAAATTCACAGGTTCCTTGTGCAGGAGAAATGGGGATAGGTTGGGGAAGACACACATCTCTTAGGCTGTTTCATTGCCTTTACTCAGGGAGCTATGAACAGATGTCTAATAAGCCCAGCCAGAGAACCAATGACAGACCAAAGTCACAATTTCATCCATGTAGGTTGGTGAAATTATGAGTTTATGTGACTTATTTACAGAAACATGGGTGACTCCCAAATATCTGTACCACCAAAAATTCCTACTTCAGCATGGGTAATGATTTCCCTAAATCTGCACAGATGGAGCCCCCTTTAGTTAGTCTTTAATTCCTGTAAGTTTAGTCTAGAATTTCCTGAGATAATGCTCACTGGGAAAGAATGACATACACCTGAGTGAGTAAGTGAGTGGCCTGATCAGGTGAGGGTCTAATGACTTTTCCTATACTTTGCTTCTATGGGAGAATGTGAGCAGGCTCAGTCTTGTGAAGGTCTCATGGATTTTTATAGGTGCTCTTGTTGAAAAAGAAACAACCATGCTAGTACCCAGAAAACAGTGTTCTGCAACACAAGAAAACAGTTTAATTGCTAAAAGAGCAAATGATTTTTCATGGTGAACATTTTTCTTGTCTTATATTTACTAAAGAAAAATGTCAGATATGTTACCCTAATTCTCAATATTTACCACCTCAGAAATATTGGAAATGGTCCTTCTGCTCATACATTCAAATCTGTTCGTTTAGGAAAAAAA